ATTATTTAAATCAGGATTCATTTATATGCAAACGCAGAAGAAAAGAAAGTGGGAAATAGATTATTTTTAAGTTATCCTATAAAGACACAATGTGCATCTTTGGCTAATATTCCATGAAGTATATAAATAGGAATCAGTCCTTTCATCAATTGTTGCTACACTCAGCCAATACCATCAATAATTTCCTGTGAGTGTGTGTAGGGATCAAACCCAGAACCTCTTATATGCTACTACCATCACGTTATAGCCCTATTGCCCTTGATCATTATTTAAAGAATTCTTTTGCAACTTCCTTCATAGATGGAATATCAGTTAGATGAAGTACCCCAAACACTATAATGGCACATTTTCAAGTTTCCCATTATTTGTAAACTTTAAAATCTCCAATTTGTTGTTTTGAATGCAAATTCCATCTAAGCATCCATTTTTTTACACTGCTAGATTTAATGCCCAAGTGAAAAAAGTACACATTTCATTTATGATTCTTTATGTCAGTAGGGAAGCTGACTGCCTTTGTATATTTTTAAAAAGTGATAGTTATTTTACAGATACCCCACGCTCCTTTCTGAAGTACCTTTCTTCATTAGCTCAGTCATTTAAGAACGAATTGGTTGTTAATTCAATGACTAGTATCAGAATCTGACAGACCACAATAAACTAGTAAAGCCAGAGATGAAACCTGTTAGCTTCATTCTCATAGAACTTGCATTTCTCAGAACATGGTTTTCCTGAATCTTCACCCTCCTGAGAGGGAGAAGCTAAACTCAAAAACAAACCTGTCTTCGGGATCATTAAGATTGCTCAGAAAATACATACTTAAATAAAAATTGAAGGAAAACACCTACATTAGAGCTTGAAAAGTAATATGGCACTAATCACCGATATTCAAAACAATTATCTAAAACCAGTTGTTAGAATCGTGATGAATTCATACTCTCAACATATTGCAAGAAGCAAGAAATTATGCACTTAAAGCAAATCCATAATTGCAAACATAACATTAGTTCCTTTGGTTGGGAGGTGGACTACAGTTAACTATTGTCTTTTTCTTTCAATTTGAAGTCCACTGCAATAAGAAATATACTCTTCTAAAAAAGCAATGTAGCAAATATATCATAGGTAATTTTGCCTGAAAATATTTAGAGGGTTTCATTTTTGCAGAAAGATAAAAACAAAAATTTCACATTCAGACCTGGATCTCTTTCTGGCTTCTTTAACATAGCTCTTGGAGTCAAATGGAAAAAACCTGAATGCTGACATACACCAGACCAAATAGCAGGGCTCCCTGAGGAAGTGGATTAGCGGAATGATCACAGCACACAACTCAGTGCAGAGAATCTCTCTTTATAGCCTCTTACTTTTTGTATTCTGCTAAAATAGTCAACAGCGCAGAAAACAGAAAGGTGATCCATGGGGCTAGGGCAGATAGTGAGTGAGGAGACTCTGTCTACCCTAAAGATGAATAATTTCTGAATAGCTATGAGGTTTGATATACAAAGTTGTTAGTCAAGCCTAAAAATCTTCTCCAAATCAGATTGTCAAGGATTAATATTATGACCTATACAGGCTCATTTATAACTTTTCACAAAATGTTGCAAGATATAATCCATGCCTCCAATCAGTTCTCCTTAGAAAAACTATTTGCTTTAAAATTACCTAGTCCACAAAGGGGCCAACTGAATTCTGAATGTTTCAGGAGTTTATGCTTAGTAAGGACTCATCTGTATTGTTTAAACTTCAACATATAAGCAATGAACTCTAGTAATAGCTTGCCTCAAACCTGTACTCTCAGGAGACAGGTCATTAGCTAAGCCATTCCTTCCTAAAGTCCATGGTCTAAAGAAGAAAAGGATAAACAAGCAAAAAGGAAAACTGTTCTGTTTCAAAGAGACATTTCCTTTATCCCAGTGTTTTATCTTCTTAGAGGACATTCATGCATTGTTTTTACGGTTCCTGGTCTTCTGTTAAATCAGTAAATATAACCAAAGCACTTTCTTTTAAATCAAAGTGGGCTCAAAACTAGCATTAATCATTCAAATTGGCTCATAAAGTATCAGATTTTTCTACTACTCATGGTTTCTTCACATAGAATAGTCAAGGCTAAGATTAAAAAAGAGTTAGTTGCTCCAAGTAACATTTTAATATGACCCAGAAGAAATGAAACTGGTAATTCTGAATTTGTAGTTGATCAAAAGAAGGGTAAGAAAGGTTTGGCACTAAGCCAAACTTTCAAGGGTTACCATCTAGTCCTTTGTCCCTTCTGCACCCCTGATTAAAACCCTAGTGAAGAACAACTCTGGAGTCCCCTCGATATAAATTCTGCAAAATAGAACCCAGAATAGACACTGTCTCAACACACACGATGGTGTTCTTCTATTTCAAAAGTTGTACCAACTGGTTCTTCACAGGTACTTTTCAGGAATGATGATCTCAGAACAAACAAGTTAGAACTCAATGTCTTGGTGACATTAGGCATCAGACAGAATTGATGACTACAATTCCCCTTATTTGAATCCAGCTTTATAAATAGAACCACTCTCTCTACTATACTGCATAGTAAATCAAGGCATTGTAGTATTTATTCTCTGATCAAAATCTTCATGAAATAGTTCCATAGACTTCTATATTTATTCAAGTTCTTGTAGAATTGTATCTGGTATTTGACAACACTATTATGTTATCAGCCGTAGCTGTAACTATTATTTAAAATGTTGGCTTGTTCATTTAAATCTAGCATTGTCAAAGCCACTGATTTTAGGGAACATGCTTGAGAAGTAAAACTTCAGTCTCAAGTATACTATTGTAGAGAAAATGTTGGTTGCCTAATAGACTTTCCCCATTGCATACTAGTTTTAAAAAGACAGATTATAAAGTTTAATAAACATATTTAGGACCTAACACAGATATAAGATATCATTTTACTTAATATTCTTGACATAGTGTTTTATGATCTTTGTTATATATTAAAGTTTTTTCTCAGAAAACTGTATCAATTCCTTTTTATAATATCCAAAATAACCATCCTTGGAGACATTCTGTCTAATTTGGGGGGCATGATTTTTTATCTTGTTTTTCATGTCACTTTATGCATTATTCTCATAAAAGTTTACTCAGCCTTTCATATTTTAAATATGTCAGTAGTAAAATGATCAGAGCCATTTCAATTTCTGTCATCTAATAGTTTTGTTTTCCTCCAATGCTTCCGTGAAGATTAACTCAGCTTTATAGCAGGGTTGGTGTCTTTAATAAAAAAGAATCTCATAAGCACCATAGTGTAAAAAAAGATGCTTTAAACAATTGACACTTTAAAGAACAAACCTTTGGATACAGCCATCAGTAGGCTAAATTAAGATTTGTAGAACTTCGGTGAAGAAATGGATGGCTTTATGATACTGCTAACCCAACATAAATAGGAACAAGAATTAATTCTAAAGGACTAAATGGACCTGTAAGGAAAATTTTCTTCTAAATTTTATTCTACTTATTTGTTAGTGTATTGTTTTAATACTCTGTTTTCTGAAAATAAAAATTTTTCTTATTTCAACTATCTGTAACAAACAACAATTTAATAGACTTACATATGTAAATTGTAACATATAAGTGAAACATATAAACATGTTATCTGAGTGTCCCTAAGGCCCAAAGTTCAGTTATTGAATGTCTTTACTCTTTTCATAGTAATATTGATGTTTTCATGTACCCATTTTAACCAGGATATAGATGAGCAAATTCATTATGCAACCAATATCTTGCCTACAATGTCATACCTAAAAATGAAGCTCACTGAATCTGATAAAATGGGTCACTTAAATTCTGCTGAGAATTTTATTCTTATTCTAGGATATACTATAAACAAATCTATGCAGACATATCTTTCTGCTCTAATCTTCCTGTATATAAGCATCAGACTAGGAATTGCATGCCCCCCTGCCACACTATTAGAAGTGACAATTGTGTAATTTCTGTGAGTGTAGACTTTGGGATAACAAAAAAGAGCATTCTGAGGCGAAATTGCTGGTACTCTGAAACCCGTCATGTCATAAATAATCGCTGACAGGAGATGCAAACTTGGAACCTCCCTGGGATGAATCAGACTTTGGGTCAGTCCTTTGAAAAGCTGTGTCTTCGGTAGAACTCCCTTAGCCAAACTGATGCTGGACCACATTCAGTATCAGAATCTCAAACTTATGATAACCCAGTGGTGTTTCATGATCACCTCTCTGCAGTGAGTTAGATGCAATTTAACATAATCATAACACAGCTTCACAAATGCAGAGCATACTTATGTTTCACTGCAAATTAACTTTACATGACATTCTACACCTAATCTTTCATGATCATTATGTTACATGCTAAAGTTTTTTCTCAGAAAAACTATATTAATCCATTTTTATAAAAATCAGAAACAATAGTCCTTGACTTCTGTCAAAATAGACTTGTGGTTATTATCACCATTATTTTTTGGCATTGTGTTGGGTGAAAATGTATGAGAATAATGTAAATTATGATGTGCAAAACAAGATAATAAAATCATGCCCCCCCCAAATTACACAGAATATCTTGAAGGATAATGACTAAGCCTTCTTTGAAAGAAGTCAAACATGATTAGTTCTCACTTTATAAAAATGAATTAATATAGTTTTTTGAGAAAAAAACTTTAATATATAACATAAAACACTACGTTAACAATATCAAGTAAAATGGTATCGTAAGTCTGGAGTAAGCACTCGACATTTTTATTACACTCTTTAGACTGTCTTCCCTCATTCCCTTCAGAAGAGCAAAGCTGCTCCTGTCAACCAAAGTCCAGTATTTCAGAACAGGTACCAGTTTGCAAGGCCACTAAGGGATTGGCAGGCCCAAAGCACATAGTCTTTAACCAACAGGAGCATCCACACCTCTGGGATGACGATGCAGCATTTCACAAATAATGCGCTCAAACTGCTAGGCTGTGCCCCGTGCCCTCAACTTGGTGGAGGCCTGAGGACATGGAGCCATACCTGACTTTCTCCGTGGTTCCTCCCGCTCTCAGTCCTGAAGATAGATTTGGGCTTCCGGGACTTGAAATTGCCCATGCTGGGTCGCAACAAGCCGTCCACCAGCACGGTCTGCTCTACATGCTGCGCCTCGCGCGAAGGGGGCAAGCACTCCTCTACTCGAGCCCCAGTGTCCGGGTAATTTTCTTTATTATTTTCATCTCTACAAGAGGAAAGACTCAATTTAGACATCACCATAAACAATAAAACCCATGCGGGAAAAAAAGGGGCTGAACATATATAACTGCTGCTGTATTTTAAGGGTAACTAGGAAATTTTTAAAAACATTTATTTGTGTGTAATAGTTATTTAGCAATATTTCTAGTGTAAATTTGTAACAGTTTTATAACAATTTAAGAAGCTGGAATCTCACTTTTTATGTCAGTTTATTTTGCTTTCCAATATTTGTGAGCAGATGCATGATTTTTTTTGTGGTGGTAGCCATGTACAAACATTATTTAAAATTTTTTTCACTTTATTTTCACGTGTATTTTCCCTCACATTATTTATTCACTCAAAAATAAAATGCAATACAATATTGCATTATCTCACAATTATAAGGTGAGATAGTCAACTTTAATGCTATAATCCCAAATTTATAGATTAAGACTCCAAAGTGCAGAGGTTAAATAACATACCCATGGAGGGGCCAATTCACACCGACCCCAAGGGGCAAGGTACATCTCTAGTTTCTCATGCCTATTTTCATCATTCAAGGAATGCTTCATCTCTACTTGCAATATTGATTTATAAATGCCTCTATACAATTTTTAGAGGCATTTAAAAGTTCAGCACAATTGGGGCTGGGACTTAGCTCAGCGGCGTAAGCGCCTGCCTTGCAAGCAGGTAGTCGTGAGTTCAATCTCTGGTTCCGATAAAAATAAAAAGGACACAAAAATAAACAAAAAAAGTTCAGCAAGATCTATTTTTGATAGGATACAAGTCACCTTTATAAAACATAAGTCAAGAGCCTAATTTTACCTAAGCAGATCATCATACCAGTATCTTGAACACAAAGTCAAAGATCCCAGTGTCTGGGTTCTACCTGCGCTGAATCATCAAAGATAAAAGTGCTGAGATGGCACTTGTATTTTTTCACTCAGACATCAAATGCAATACAATCTCCCAGTCCTTTCAAGTTTCTATCTTTTCAAAAATCCTGACATAGTAACACTCCTATTTGAAGCCATTTGTCCCACTTACATTCAGACATATTTTTGTTTCATTTTACTAAGAATCAAGCAAACATTATGAATATAAGCAATGGGATCTTCTCCTTGTACAATCAACATTATTAACCCTAGCAATCATTGGCATAAGATCATCCAGTTTATCAGGAGTATCCAATTTACCAAGTGTTATTGTCCTATGCTTCCTTAGTAGAAGTACCCATAAAGGAGCTTAAGCAAGGTCACTTGCAGGCAGTTCCTCAAGGCTCAAGGACATTGGCAAATGATGAATTTCTGTGTCTACCACTCAACATTCCTTTGCATAAATAACAAAGTTTAAATTCGCTAGACCAGTATCAGTAGGGGATGAACTCCAGTTAATCCCTGGGGAAAAAAAAACTAAAACAAAGATCAGAATAAATACTCTGAAGAAGGGACAGTTGACAAGGGATACAACTATGTTGAACAGTTAAACTTAAATTCTTGGGAAATCTTAGTCTGCCTGGTGAAGGAGGACTCAGCAAATAAAATAATAGTAATTCTTTGGTGTTAGTAACAGCAATGATCAAAAAATAAAAAATCAATGCTAGTGACACTGGTTGATGTTCTTCCCTAAATATCATTTAAAGTCACAATTTTTTTCTAATAAGATAATACTAAACCATGAAGTGGAAACTATACCAATTCCCTTGAAGTGCGTTTCTTTCATTAGGAAACAGTGGAATACACTACACTATCCATTCCAATGGGACTACAATCTGCGCTCCTATGGGAGAAAGAAAAGTTACCTAAATGTTCCTCATGCAGGTAGGATGCCTGAACACTCACAAACAGGATAACAAAAAATAGTTTGTCACATCCAAAGTGACTCTCCTTTGATCAATTCATTCTCAAAATAATACTGTAACTTGCTTTTTATATTGTATTTTAAAGTCATTAAAATTTATAGATACGATCATGTCTAGCTCCTTGGAAGACAAGGAAAGATGAAATGAACCAAAAAGCACCTTTCTCCCATACCCAAATGTAGAACCCAATTACAAAAATTATCTTTAGAAATAAATTTTTCACATTTCATGGGTTCCTTTGAATCCCCATACAGAAAAGCACAGATTATAATTTACGCACTGACTGCTGGAATAAGTTATAACTGAGAATGAGCATGATGTACTGAAAAGAGCAGGCGTTCCAAAGCTGCTTCCACTTACTAGTCGTGCAGCCTGGGCCACATCATTCTACTTCTGTGATCCTTCTCCAAAAAGTGAATGCAATATGTACCTTGCAGAAATAATATGGTGTCTGTGAAATATCTGTATTTAATGCTGGCTCAGAGCAGCAACCCAGTGAATTAAGGATATTGTCTCTCAGTCTTGGCCAAGTGATTATTTGTAAAGAGAGGGGAAAAAAAACCCTGAGAGTTCCTTTTATTTTCTTCAATACCTCCAGGATAAATTCCAATATCTTTAGAAAGGCACAGAAGCCTTGTGAAATCTGATCTTTGTTTATCTCTAGAGTTTCATTCCTTACCATCACTTGACTCCTCACCCATACCTGGCTCTGGGGGTCTCTCTTGTCCTGAACTACTTGCCAGTCCTTCAAATCAAACTATTCCACCTCTGTCAGCTTGTCAGTAAGCTGCTGCCTCTGTTTGGTGGCATCATATTTTTCTAGGTCTTAAGACTCCCCCTATCTCCAAAAGACAGTTTTGTGTCACATGTAACCTTCTTCAAACATTTATCCCAGAAACTTCTCTGTGCTATTTGATTCTTCAAGATGAAGAATCTTTTGTTTCCTTCTAGGATGACAGCACTGTATGCACTTTAACATCTTCCTCTGTGTTGTCCTCTAATGGACTGAATTCCTGGAAGCAGGCAGAGAACCATTTGACTTTCTTTGTCCCAAGTCTTGACTGGTTTCTGGCACACAAAATAGGCCCCCAACAAATGTTGTTAGCCAGTAACTGAACTTTGAGTCAAACAGATCTGAGTCCAAATTTTAAGTTCTACTGTTAAATTATCTTGGATGCACTATAATTTCTTGAACTCAGTTTCTCTGTCTATAGGATGCGAAGGAAGATATTTCTTTCAGCTGTTTAGTTTAAACGTATATGGAAGTGCTTGAAACAGGAAACAGGAGAAAAATGGTTAACTGTTGCTTTACCATGAACCCTTAATGGCCAGTACACCAGACATTCAGTAAGGTGTTTGTGAATAATCTAGAACCTCTTTGTTAGGGTGTATGCTGGGAACACAGACAAGCAGAATGATGTTCAATTAAATAGGAATATATTGAACATTCCACACTTATAAATCACTGTCCTGGATGCTAAACATAGTATCCAAAAGTAGACAAGACTAGCCAGGTGTGGTAGTGCATGCCTGTAATCCCAACACTTAGTAGGCTGAGGCAGGATTGTTGTGAGTTTGAGACCAGCCTGAGTTACAAAGGCCAGGCTGAACTGCCTAGTGAGACCCTGTCTCAGAAAGACAAAATAATAAAAATAAAAACAAATGTAGACCAGACCAAACTTCCCACAAGAAATGAAAATATATTAGAAGAGATGGCACATGGAAAGAAATCCTTTAGTTCAAAAAAGAAACTTCAGAACCAAATGGTTTCTGTCTCTGACAAATACAAATAAGGACCAAGCAATGGCAGGTTGTACCTGAGACTAGAACAATCAGTCTGGTCTTCATGTAGAGAGACTGTATCTTCGTCACACCTGGGAAGGGGGAAATAAACCGTGTCAGTCCAACTGTCTGCTATAGCAGCAGCAGTAATAAGCTAAAATTATTTCAAAATTAGTATGGTAAACCAACAAAAAAGTAACAATTTTCACCACTGTTTCCCAAACCAGCTCTTATGACAGGGAACGATACCAACTTTTTCACGGCACGTGAGTGCACAAGCTCAGACCCAGACACAAGTCTCTTTTGCCTTCACTGTTCAGCGGACATCATTTAGGCTAACAAGGACCTTTGTGATCACAATACGAGGACATCCGGCACAAAGATGAGTGGCTCAGATAAGTGGCAAACTTTCTGCACCAGGTAGTCCCGAATCATCTCACATCCCAGATTACCCCATTGCTCTTGAACTTTCTTTTGCTTATGTAAAGGAAATGACTCCTTTCCACGAAACTTCTGAAACAGCCGTATAAAAAATACTGGTTCTTTCATGTTGAATAATCTCCAGTGCTTCACTGTGCGTAGGGGAATCTGGAGTGGGACCATTCTGTCTCTCTAGTGTAAGAGGGAGCCTTTGTTCTGTTCTCAGCCATCCCTGCCTTGCCCTACCCAAACCTGAAGCACTTTCCAGCTTCAATTCCTAATCATCTTTCACTGACAGCCCAAGTCAGGTTCTACCAGCTCCATGAACCCGCCCAGCAAAGTTCACACAGAACCACATTCCTGTTTTACTTTTGATGCATGAATGTTTACTCTTTGTTCTGAGTTGTGGTAACAAACTGTATCTTGCCTCACATTGCTATGTAATCTTTTGCATCTCTGAGATCTTTTTAATTGGTTACTTATTCCATGAGTAGAAATAACTGTAATTTTTTTTCCAGACACACTTCTGCAGTGCCAACCACAGTACTACTTCAGAGTTGTGGCTCAAAATACTTGAATTAAAATATTTATCCTCAGCGAGTCCTGTTCGTGAAATAATTTAGTATTTTTGAGTATTTAGTGCCTCCTAGGTACTAAATTAGCATAGTTGGCACTATTCTGCTCAGACTTTTTAGAGGTTCAGTACTGACTAGTTTATTTTCTTTTTCCAGTCCACTGTGGACAAATACTTTCATAAAAATGTCAAAGCAATGTCAAATTCCCATTAAAGTTATTAAAAGCTTACTCCCTATTTCTGTTGTTTTCCTGTCTCAAATTACAATTTGGATACCCACACTTTGAGTAACACTGCTTCTAAAGGACTGAACTTGAAAACAATTTGAACCCCGTGGATTGAGAAATCCATGTTGTAATTATTAAGCAAAAATAAACATAAAAATCAAAATTAAAAATTACAATATAGTATTTATACTGTACTAAATAATTTTAAAATTAAATATTCTTTACTGGCACTGGTGTATAATTAGTCTACAAAATGACTTCATGAAAGCTTAGTTTCCATTCGCTTACAGCCTCTTCTTTTTAAATTATGGCTTTTCATGCATTAAACAAAGTCCTCCTACTGACTCTAACTCTTCTTACCTGCTGAAATATTTTGTTCTCTCCATAAAGTAAAAGGAAAAATCAGCTGACTTAACAAATTGTTCCTTTTAATTGACTGATCTAAATTTTCTTGTTTATGTTTTCTTTATAGCCAATAACTCACTCTGTCCATCTCATGGAAAATAACAAATTCGTAAGTATTGTATTGCTTTATTCCATTAGTAGCATTTGCTTAAAGTATCATCTGGGCTTTCCAGTAACAAACTAGAAAAATCTACAAAAAATAGAAACCGAGAATTGTTGCTTCTTAGGAACTAGGGCTCATCCCAAGAATCAAACCTGGTGCTCCACAATACTAACTGGAGATTTGGCATTAACTCATTTTTCTTTTATTTGATTTATTAATCTCTCTCTTCAAAATATAATCAATTAAAAATGGAGACTCAACACCAAAACATACAAAGTTTCAGGTGGTTTTGGAAGAATGAGGTTGAACAAAATTAGTAGATCCAATCTTAATACCTATTGGTAATTCCAGTTGGAAGTCAAAGAAATAAAAATCCAAGATCAAAGGCTCAGGAATTGAAGTAAACTTCCCAATTGGATTACAAGTCACATATATTCAAGGTCTTTTAATTCAAGAAACTTTTCAATTATTTTCATAAGTACCATCTATGCCCCCTCAATTAGCATCTCCTTTCTGTCCTTGTCCCAGAAAGCCCTGCAAATGTACAACACTAGTCCATTTATAAAATTGGATTCCATCATGGGAACCCATATCCAGATATCCCCTTACTGGATCAACTCGAACAAAGTGTTCAGCTACCTGGGCCATGGTGTTCTCTTTCTGTTTTATAGCCCTACACAGGTATTTAAAGACCAATGCCTCTCATATTCTTCATATTCAAAACTAAGCAACAGCTAATGAAATATTTTCCAAATTGTACACTATAATCTGTTGGTGGATTTTGAAACTGCAGAGAGCTATTAGCATGTTTTTTTGTTAGTGCTGTTACACAAGTAGAAAAACATCACCATAGTAAACATTAACTGCTGTTTCATGGAATTCATTTAAATTACCTATGTATATGTCGTTGGATTGCAATATATAACGTTTTTCTCATGCTTGTTCATAGTAAAAATTGAAAGGAGTATCTATTAAATGAGGACCTTTGTAGTTTTCATCAACTAGATCCTAAGTTCTAAAGTCTTTCACGTATGATTGCCCAGAGAATGGATGGAAATTTTGCCTCTGCAATAATCTCTTAGGGTGTTCCTTTCTTCCCTGTTTGGACTTTTACTCTCTCTCAACCACAAACAAGGTTGCACTTTGTTGCAGATCACTTGCACTTCACAGCTCACTTGCACTTCCATCTTCTCCCAAATCAGCCAGGCAGTGCATAAGGTAGGAATTACATTCAGATGGAGGCTAGGTTATTGTTTTAGGATTTCAAGGCCTAAGCAATGCAGCCTGGGTTGTTTCTGATCCACCATATTAACAGAGTAAGGAAGAAGCCAAATAACTTCTAGCTTACATTCTCAAAGGCTCACGGGACAGACTTTTTTAGAGTAATGCTAACAGAGTAAGTGTCCATGAAAAGTTCTCTTTTCTGATTAAAGAGAGGCCTCAAATTAGCTGCTAATAAAATGTTATTGGGCTAGATCCCAGTCACCCTATCATGCCATGTTCCCTGAAGGCACAGCTTCCTGAGGAGTTTGTCAGTATGAGGTCCCGAAACTACCTGTATTTATACTACTTGGAATACTGTATCTGATTCAAACAGTGGATTATGACCCCATCTCACCTCAGCCCCTACAGTAATTCTTTGGGGTAAGACCTAGGAGTGTACATTTTTGAACCAGATCACCCATCCAACAAAACTGGTAAGCTTCTAAAAAATTCTAGGCTTAATGTATCTATATTCCAGACCACTACTGGGCTGACGTCACCATAGCCACCCATTGTGGGTTACCCTTGCAATAAAGCCTAGGAGTATGTTTTCCATACTCCTCTTCCCCTATTATGATGATCATTTCATTTTGATAATCAATGCTTTGAATGATAACATTTCAAAGAACAAGTTAGCCGGGCAATAGAGAAAATGACTGATAGAAAAGATGCCACAGATATGTGAGAAAAGCCCAAAGCCATTCTCATGTTGAAAGTAATTCTAAATGACTAACTTTGTACAGAGATCAAGGGGCTAATCCTAGAAAAACTGGGTAGAGAAGGAAATATATCCTTAAATCCCTCTCAATTCCACTTTCATTTGACTCATATAAGACTCCTAGGTGACCAAAGCAGCACCCTGTCAGATTAGAATATCTGATTAAAGATTTCACGCAGAATTATTGATGACAACTTGAATTTACCTCCCAGAGGCACCGGCTTTTTAATTTCTATTTTAATAAGAGTCACTATAGGGCCCTTAATCCAAAAGAAATCATGTCCAGGTGGAATCTCAGTGGGTCCGCAGGTAGGAGTGAGGTGGGGACAGGAGAAAATAGGAATGTTTCTTAATCCAAAACATTTAAGACAGGAAAGTGCATCATCAGTGTAGGCAAGAACCTTCACCCAGACATTTATGGAACATCTGCTACATCAAGGCTTCAAGGCAGTGCCCCTGGATCACACTCAAAGAATCAAGGAGCACAGTTCCTATTATTGATCAGAAGGCAAAATGTTGCACTTGACAGGGGCTAGTGTTGAATGGCCGAATCTGTGCTGTGGGGTAACTATGAAGCTTTTGGTAAGCTTTCAGTATGTTCCTTAGACTCTTATAATAGCCAGATGGCATCCCAATTATCACTCAGAGCCTTTTAAAATAAATCACTGTCACTTCTCTGAAAGTAACAACATGATCTTATGCAATCAGAACTCCTTGGGGACTATCCAAAGACAAGGCACGACACTCTCCCCAGCTTTCAAACATAATACCTTGAGCAAAAAAACAAAATCCATGTGAAATCTGGAACTAAGTGTCTCCGTTTTGAAGCTGCTAGCCCCACAACTGACTCTGGGGATTTGATCCCACAGGTTTCTGAGAATCAGGCCCTGGAAGCACCTGGCACTTGGCAGCACAACAAGGGAGGAGAGAGACCTGTGCACCTGCACCAGGAAGTCAAGGCCTCATCTTTGCAGATTGGGTCACAAATCTCTTCATTCAGGCTTTTAGAAAGCTAAGTCGCAGCACAGATTACTAAGCAATCTCATTAGCAGGATACAAGTCCCTAAGAGTATTTCTTGTAAAGTAAACCTTAGTGTTTTTGTTTGTTTTTGTCTTCTTAATTTTTAAATGACTCTATTTAAGTGAGCTCAAAAATATACACTAAGACAGTAGCAATCCAAACAGAGGAACAAAAGAATGTGGGAAACAGAGGACCTCTGAGGCACTGTCTTAACCCTTCTACAAGCTTATACCTCCAGTGACTCTCTCCAAGCTGTTGTGACAGTGTTGGAACCTGAAACTCAAATGATACTTGCTTCACATTTATTTGATTTTTAGAGAACTTTAGCAAAGTGCTCTCAAGTTACTTGGGGTTTCTATATCAAACTCATTACGTTTTTCAAATGTAGTTGAGTAGACAACTTTACACACACCTTTTTTTTTAAAGCTTTTAAGGGTGACTTCTACCAAAAGTTCCCAGAATTAACATCATGAATTTAGCTAGAGAAAGATTGGTACATGACATACAGTATATATATTAGTGCATGTAGCTATACATTGCATATACTTATTGAGAAAGGATGCTATGAATTTTTAACATTTACAATATTGGGGAAAACATTAAGGAAGAGGTGACAAGAATTAAAACAAGGTACTGTAAGTGTCTAATAAAACAATACTGTGCCCAGCAGTCCTGGAATAAAACATTACATTCCTCCTTTCCTGTTTAAATGCTGTTAATTGTCCTAATCAATAAACTTTAACCAAGGACAAATCACTCATTCCTTCTACATGCATCTTTAACATAGAAGACAAAAATGACAACAGGCATGCAAAAAAAGTTTCCTACACTGTATCTTAAAAATCTGTAGACACCACAGAGAGGATAAGTTTAGCCTGTTTATCACAGGCTGAAATTAAACTCAAGTCATTTGCATCTAACTCCTATTTGCGGTAAATGTATACAGCGTGCACTCCACAAAAACTGACACTAATAATGTTGGCAAAATATAGCCAAGCTCCCTTCCTGACATGTCAGATAGGTTTATTTATTTATTTACTTTTATTCTGAGCTGCAAGAACACATATTTTAGAGCAGTGAGTTCTTGGAAGCCATCAACTGGTTTTAATATATCTCCCCAGCTGTTAAAAAGGTTGATTTCCTCCTGCATAGATTCCTGGACCTCATCAATCAACACGCCTCTCCTCGGTCCTCGCTGGCCCAGATTTCAGAAGACAATACATCTAACATGAAGAGAGGCTGGGGCAGTGGGTACCTTCATGGTAGCTGCTTCCAGAGAAAGGCATGCAAGTCTCATTTTAATGGCAAGAATCACTTACTCTGTTACAGCGGTGCTGCTGAAGGAATTATCCTGAAGGCTGAAACAGAAACAAGAAAACATCAGCCAGGTCCGGCCGGGAAGCCGTCTCCCTGATTGCTCTCCGGGAGTTAGAGCACACACACAAACATGGCATTGCAAGGCAAGTCTCAGAGCCCGGCACGGCACGCTCGCTCTACCTTGGGCTGCTGTCTGCACATGCTCGTAACGACACCCCCAGCAGGGGCCCAGCAGCACGGGCAAACCACAAAGCCCCGCGGCCCGCGCGGCTGCGGGGACGGGGCGGGGCGGGGCCCGGGCTGGGCGCGAGCGAGGGGCACCTGCAGACCCCAGCTCGCCGGGCGCCCCGCCTCGGATTCACCGCTCGCTGCTCCAGCCGCCGGAAGCCGCTGCTCCTGCCTAGGTGCGGAAATACCCCGGGGATTTGCTTTCTTGCAGAGCCTACCGATTAAACCGAGCTAGCTCCCAGCCTCCCCCCGCCCTGCCCCCGGCCCGAGGCGTGCAGACATTCATCCTTCGTGCTGAAAAGGCTGGGAGGGAACGCCAAGGGGAGAGACGCACTGGTGCTGGTATATTTCAATTTTTTTAAAAAATCATGTGTTGTTTTTTATTGCTAAGGAAAAAGAAGAGCCTCTGAAGGAGGGATCGCTGCTTCACATCCGATCTGTCAGTGCCCTGTTATGTTATTTTAGTACAGAAGAGGAAGCTCCCAGCTCCGGACCACAGTGAATGAACCCACGCAGGGCGAAAGGAGAATTTATTCCAGGCGGTAGCTGGTGGCGAGGGCAAGGTGCAAGGGGCGGAGCCAGCCAAGCCCGGGACAGCCGGCCGGAGCTCCTCCCCAGCACCTTTACAAAGGAGGGAGCCCGCAGGCCCGGAGGGTGGGCCCCCTGTTGGGGGGAGGGGAAGTCTGTCCTCCCGGTCTCGCTCCATCGCCCTGGGATATGTGTCCTGCTCTCTTCCATTGTTCATTTCTTCTGCCATGTTGACCTTGATATGGAATGGAAGATGCTTATTTGAATTTTGAAATAAGATCCCCACTCCCGTTTTAATCTTCCCACTACCGGAAACAGCTGAGATGGTGGTGGCTTTTTTTTCCTCTCCATATAAATCATATCAGCCGATGAGTTAAGTTATAATAAGAAGAAACACTAGTATTTTAAAAATATTTTCAGATAACTAGAAAAATTACCCCAAACTTAGAAATAAGAAGAAGGAGCATGACTTTCAGGGTCGCAGTGAAACATTGTTTAACAGGTCCACTCAGCGGTGAGTTAATTCTCTAGAAAGCATGCTTGTGTTTGTCTGGGCTGCTTATTATTGATTCTGACACAGACGTGGCAGCATTACACGTTAAACTTGCACATTTTACTCAGTCTAGCCAACAGAAAACATGTCACCGTTTAAGATTTTCTTGCACTGTAGGGTGTTAACCAATTTTGCATCTCACTCAACTAACATTCTTTCTGATGTCTGTAAATACTGAAATCCCCAAGTGTTCTTCCAACCATCTAAACCATGTTTGCAGTTTCCTCTCATTAGTAAATGAATAGATCTCTGACGTTTGTATGTATTCATATGAGAGTCTTGCTTTTAACTTTTAAAAGTTATACTTTGAAAAACCAAAATTGAATTTTCAAAAAAAATTGATTTTGTTAAAGTTCTTTACAACCATAAAGATAAAAGCCTGACCTCATCTTGGACTTGAATTCTGTGGAGCAAATAAGCTTGAAAATACTAATCCCCTGAATGTTTATGTATAATATTGTATGTATATGTTCTTAAGCCTCCTGTCTCCACGAGCTAGTTTTGAGAATGACAGACCCTCTTCATTGTATTTATCACAAATTGAGGTCTGTTCTTTCTGTTTATAAAGACTTACAAGGCAAATCTATATTCAGTCTGCTTGGTACCATAGATTCAATGCTTGTCAGTTTACAGAAAGCCCTTCTACTCATTGGCTATGGTACTGTCCTCAAACATTCCAATGCAGAGGCAGATCATACTTCTTTTCTGTAAAATGACCTATCCCAGTGACTCATTTGAAATGGAAAAGTACATTTCTTTCAACTTTGAAACAGGACTCATTCGAGTATATGGAATAATGTGGCCTTTTTGGGAAAAAAAAATGAAATACTGAATGTACTTAATAACTGTAAGGATTCAATAACATTCATAGAAAAAATTCTCAGCAACTCATGAATAGAAAGAACTAAAATTAAGTTTCTGGAACTAGTCGTATACAATGAAAACGATTGACAACAACATGTTATGGCTAAAACCCCAAAATATTCTACAATAAAGCTCTGTCATTTAGTAATTTGTAGGAAATCATTTTAATTTTTGTTGCTCAACCAATTCTTAAACTTTTTTCATATTAAATCAAGTTTTTAAATCGCCTTTACAAATAACTTGTCAAGTGGATTTTTAAAATTTTTTCGACTATTCAATTTGGAATAAGACTATATTGTTGAACATCATAAAACATACAGTTTTTTGGAAGCCCTTGACTTAACTAAATGGAGCTTAATAAGAGTTTTTTTAAAAAGCAGAAAAATTATTATGTGAATTTGTGAAGAGTTAAAAAAGAAAGATGGCCAAGAAAAAAAAATAGGTTAAATGAACAAAAACAATTTTTTGAAAGCAAACATACTATAAATTCACAATGCATGTTGGGCAGCAAAGAAAAGTATGCCATCTATTTTTAACTAATGTTCCCCAAATTCATCAAAGACCAACATAATATTTTGCTTAAATATATCATTTAACACAACGTGTAACTAAGAATTTTGAGAAAACAGTTCTTGAGTATACTAGAAAAAAAAATAATTGTTTATTGAACAAATGATTGAAAGAAAAAAGTAATGTTACATGTTTATCACTGTCTCATTGTCATGAAGAAGACACACAGGCCACATTTCAAAGTTTTTAGTATAAATACATATTGTATAAGTGTGCAAAATATTTAATGCATATTAGATGTACATCTCTATTTCCTGCAAGTAAGATGTTAGATGGAGATGCTAGATTTGAATACTGTTAATTCAATTACATTTTAAAAATTTGAATGTTTAGGGGCTGGGGATTTAGCTCAGCGGCATAAGTACCTGCCTTGCAAGCAGGCGGTCGTGAGTTCGATCCCTGGTACCAATAAAAATGAAAAAGACAAAAAAAAAAAAATTTGAATGTTTTACTTTTCCTAATGTTGCTCATAAAACCAGCATCTGAATTTTAGATTTAATACTGATACAGTCCTTATTATAACTGGAAAACTTTTATTCTAATGTGTTGATTTAGCTCTATGCAAAATGTAGAACAGTAGATCAGTGGTTGAGAAAAGAATCTGCAAACTTGCTGAGATTCCAGACTAACCTGTTACTGTTGTTGTCAACTTAAACAATGACTCTGCCTCAATATTCTTGTAAAATGGAGGTGATAATTACCTATCTCATAGATTCTTACAAAGATTAAATGACCCTCCTAGAAACAAAACAGAAACAGTCAATAACTAGTAGACTCTTATTCTCATTAGTATTATTAGTAGTATTATAACAAAAATGAAGTTTGGAAGATTGTAAATAAAAGTACTGTGCTGACTGAGTACATAGGCCATATTATATTTTCTTTTTGTTTCCTATGATGGTACAGTGTTTATAGAGTCTTTTTGCCCCTCATATCCATAAAATTTAAAACTTTACGAAACGTGAATGAACTGCTCTGGATGGAATGAGCTTAATCCAGAGTGGTTTTGTGCTCACTTTATGGCTCTTCCATTAAAAATGTTTGCATATCCCTGTAGGAACAGACAATTCTGAGAAATCACTTCCTGCAAGATGTTGGGATAAGGAGCCAGACCCTTCACAATGACCGGAAACTGACAGAGGCCTGCTGCAATGGTCTGCTGGACACAGTGACTTGTAGCTTCCTGCCAGTGCCCTTGGGAATGGCCAGCCCTCCCTGAGAAGGAGAGGACACTTGCCTGAAATGATAATTTTCTATGGAAAAACAAACATACAAAAACCCCTCTTCTTTGACTCTCTCTTCCCTAATCCTCTTTTACTAGCCCCAGTAACTGCCACCATCACAAAAGGGGCCTCATTATCTGACTGGTCAATGTTTTAGGTGCTGAAGAGTCAAAAGTGCCCAAGGAAGAAAATCTTTGATGAGAAAAGTATATACTAGTGACAGGCTATATGTGGTATTTGTCTCCCTTCACATATGCCTCCTTAGTTAATGTTAATATAGAATCCACCTTTGTCTGACAACAGCTGTTTAATTCATCTATAGTAAAATGCAGACATGATGTAAAGTGAATACTCAGTGGAATTTAAGTGTTTGCAAAAGATTCAAGATTTTATGAAATCAGTGGAAGTCACATTCAAAAACAGCAACAAGTGAGATATTGATAGTAGCAACCAAAGAATAAAATATTTGACAAGGACGATAATGTTATCAGAGAACTAAAACTGATCTTTGGAAAAATTTATGAGAGCCTTAATTTTGCAAATGTTACATTTTAATAATCATGCCATGAGTCTCAAATGTGAGGTGAAGGTTATTACTTGGAGGTATAACATTTTTCTTAAAAATTATATATAATTGAAATGGACAAAATTTATTCATTGCTGTTTCTAAGAATTAGCTCACTATTTCATTTATATCTAATATGTAAAATAAGACTATTTTTACAGTTTGTTTAGTGTTTTCCAGGGCTGTCAGCCTGTGCTGGCCTCATCCTGGTGATAACTGAGCTTATTCCCAACCTTGGTGCCCACCTGCAGTTATTATAAGTGAGCTTTATCCTGCCCAGGACCTTTTTAGGGAACACCAGGTTTAACACACGCAAATATGTTTCTTGAGAAGAACTTTCCAGATCACTCTTTCTGAATTAGTATGCCCTGTCACTCTTTTCTGCTTTGTTTTCTTCATTGGACCTATCTCTGTCTTATATGTAATACATGTTCAGCTATCTGTTTTATAATTGCTGCTCCCAATGGGAAAAGTACTGCAGGGTCTTACCAATTACTGTATTCTCAGAATTCAAAAATATATCTATCATGGTAGCTACTTAATGAATGTTTACAGAATAAAATTAAGAAATTAATATTTAGTTTCACATTTTTAAGATAAAGCTCCACATATCCTTTACTATTTTTTTTCCTATAACAATGGAGTGCTAGCTTCTGATATTCATGTCAAATGGAATTTTCCAAGACAAGGTGTCTTCAGTAATAAGACTTTCCTGCATCAGACATTCCTTTCCTTGCTTTGCAGGGATAACATATTTCATACTATTATTCCAACTCAGCTGATAGCGTGGGCTTTCCAGAACACTGATTCTGTGGTGTGGTCTCAGCCCAGCCAGGAGAACATTAGGAAAGATGGCACAGTAGTGCGGGTTATGAGAGCGAGTTTATGGGTTTGGTATCTCAGGTGTCAGTATGGCACCTGTTAGAATACAAATTTCCTTAAGAAAAGCACATTCCATTTTTAACACCTGTTAGAGATTGCATTTACATGTTCCACAAAGGCCTCATGTAGTCATAGGCAGGGCTTTTCCTAGGTGGCTGAATCTAAAGTGTGTGATGCTATGATTAAAGTGATGCTGTGATCAAAGGTATGTGATTCCTAAATTCATCCACTGATCAATTTGGCATAATTCTGGGAGTAGATAATGGAAAGCTCCTCCCTGGATGAGAATTAGTAGCCTGGATAAAATATAAGGCACAGAACGAAGGCTCTTGTGTTCCCTTGTTGCTCATGGGTTCACTACTTCCCTGCTTGTCACTTTCTTCTGCCTTCTGCCTGTCATGAATTGTTTCTTCCCTGCCATGCCGCCTCGCCTTGGAGTCAGCCAACTGTGAACTGAAGTCTCTACCAACCTTGACAGAAATAAACCTTTGCTCTTTTAACTTTGAATATTGAGTATCTGGGCTCAGCAACAAGAGGGGTATTTTGTCTCAGCAATGAGAAAAGTGACTAGACAACACATTAGCTTGATGTAATTTTCAAATGCACAAAATGTATCTCTGCAGTTCATGTGGTTTTAGGAAACACAGGAGCTACCTGGCCTAATACATTTTTCTAATCCTTAAACTTCCATGATAATCTCCGATTGCTGCTTGAAGCCTTAAGATCCAGAAATCTGTAGCCCACAAAGCTCCTTTATTGGCTCCTCCAGTTCCTGAGAAGATTCCAGTCAAGTATTCCTCTGCGTTTTGTTACTTATACCAGTAGCCAAATGACTATCAGAATTATTCCAGTCCATTTTCTCATCTCCAAGTCAAATATGCCCAGTTCCTTCACTAGATTCCCAAATGACATGACGTAGCTTTCCTTCTGCATCTTGTGTAATACTGGAAAAAGTACAGTCCTACTATCCTAATGTGCCACTCCTACCCTAGAGTTATTACTCCAGGTGTCATCTGGTCAGTGAAGAATGAAATGAGCTCTGTGCCTCCTCCTGCTCCATAAAATTATGCTCTTCCACATGGCCCAAGAACATTGCTTGGTGTGCATAGATACATTATACTGCAGACCCAGCTGATTGCGGTCAACTGACACACTGGAGCCACTCCTGAGAGCTGAGTTTGTTGAATGTAGTACTGTACCACCTTTGTATAATTCCAGTAAAATTCTATACTATTTAATTTGACATTTGGTACTTGTATATTCAGGCTTTCAGATCTTTGAGAATATATGTTTTAACAGCTATATTTTTCCCTTCCAGTTTGATGTCATCACTGCTCTGTGAATACGGTCCTTCTGAAAAGTTATAGCATAAAATAAACACACTTTTAACCAATTCATGTCTCTTCACTTACAAAAATTATGAGGTACCATTTAATAATAGTTTAACATTTTAAAATCTAGATTATTTGAAGTTATCTCATGTCAGAGGTACTAGCTGGTAAGAGAAGAAATGAGAAAAGGGGCTTAAATCCAGTGTTTGAGACAGTGTCAGACGGCAGAGCGGGGACTGGAAGGAAGATTTGCAGGTGGCAGCAGGAAGGCACAAGTGGATCTATGGCGCAGTGGCTTTTCTCTGTCCTCCAGCACCATCCTCACCTTGCGCAGTGGTACAGTGGACTCTCTAATCTAACACCAATAGAAGTATAATGAGTCATCCAACTGAAGAGGGACAGTGTCACATTTCCCTGGGTACACATAAGTCAGGATACACCCAAAATATCTGGGTTCCTCTCAGCAAAACCTCTTCTGATCTATGAAAAAGAAAGCGTATTTTCTCCTCCAAATTCTGTATACACCTTCAAAAACAAATCTCCAAGCTTTTTTTTTTCCTACTCCATAGTTGCATTTAATTGCTCTTCTTTTTAAAATTTTTGTATACTCTTTCTTTTTCACACATTCTCTCTGAGCTTTGGCCCAGTTAAATCTTCCCAAATTTCCATTGTTAATCTCTTTATATAGACAGATACTTTTGTCTGTTTATAACACAATTATCTGTATCTCTGTAAAATCTAGCCGTGGATATTATTCTGGTTCTTTACTGCTTTAAGGGCTCAAAACAATTATTTATTTTGCTTATGATTTTGAGGCTTGGAAATTCCAGGAGAGTTCTGATGGGCTGTTCATCTCTGATCTGTGAGTGTTAGCTTGCCAGATGGGACTGAGAGCTACCTTCCAAAAATGTCTTCTTTACTCATGTAACCAATAACTCAGTCTCTCTCTCTCTCTCTCTCTCTCTCTCTCTCTCTCTCTCTCTCTCTCTTTCTCTTTTTCTTTCTCTCTGTTGTCTCAATTATTTAGAGCTTCTCAGTGCATCTTGAACTCCTCACCACATAATGGTTTTAAAATCTGTCTTCTTATACAGAGCTGCCTTCTGGGAGACCAAAGCAGAAGCTGTCAGTTACCTTAAAGTCTTGGCCTACAGCAGGTGTAGCCTCACTTCCAGAAGAGTCTATTATTCAAAGCATATACAAGTCAGCCCAGATTCAAGGGCAGGAGAAAAGACCCTCCTATTGCTGAAAGGTGGTCACCAATGTTTTGGTGACCATCTTTACTCTGCTGTAGATATCTGCAATGATATTTCTAGGGATAATTATTGACTTCCTTGTCCTTTAAGTCATGGGTAAGTTAATTTATATAAACTCAGTTTATATTTCTTATTCTAGTGGTTTATTAATCTATCCTTCTGAGCTACTAATACATACATGTGTATATATATATATATATATGTATATATATATATATATATATATATATATATATATATATATAAACAGATAGATGAATGGGAGAAGTAGACATTTTTTGAAAAGGAAAAAATTCTGATATTTTTAAGAAGCAAACAGTCTGGCTACTTAATGTATCTAATTTAAGCAACAGTCTGTTGCTACAGCCTGTCCACTGGGAAATGCTCATAATCACGGTGTTCTGGTGGGAAAGCTTCATACCCCAGCCATCATCCATTACTTTTACAACTAAAGGAGGAAAAGAAAAGGGAAGAGGTAGAAAAGGAGATGAGGGGGAAAAAAGAGGAGGAGGAGAACAAGGAGGAGAAGGAAAAGCTGCAAAATGTTTAAGAACTCCTAGCATTTTGCTAATGAGGCCAGTATTAGCTAACGAGAAGAAAATCTGTATAAAATCCAAACATGAAGTAATTCAGAAGTCTGTGTACATATAAGGGAGATTTCTTATGATATTGTTCTTTCTTTTCTGTTTTTCTCTCTCTCCTTTCCCCAATCTTATCCCCTGAGGGTACATAAATGTGAGCTAACAAAGCCTGCTAAAATGTACTAGCTACCAATCAAACTGGAAAAATAGCACCATGTAATGCTATGCTGAAATTGGGTTAGGAATACTGTTTACTAATATTAAGTACTGTAGATACAGTTTCACAAGCTTAATGTCACACTCTACAACTATTTCTAATTACTAAATGCTTCTTAGTGTACAGTAAAGCACGCACTGTCAACCCCTTGAGATAATGACTGGTCTCCTAGTCTGTGTGAGCTGCTCCTCACCGTAGGTGGTTCACACACATTCACATTCAGCAATATTCTCCTGGGCCCTGGAGCACTCGGAGCAGCTACATTTCTATATTTGGTATCAAGCCTTCAGTGCAGATTCAACTCAAATAACTGCTGAGCTTATTGTCACTAGATCTGATTTTGCACAGACACCAACTAACTTTTTCATGGTCCTAAAAACATTATTAAAAATCCATGTGTGATATTGTGACCTTCAACTCAACAGTAAAAAACAAGCCCTAGAACTATTAGATTATGAATTATGGGCCACAGAACTGATCAGAGATTATGAATCTAGTTAGCAAAAATAGACTATCTTGAATCAACTTTTAAGAGAATAATTATAAAAGTGTATATCAACCATTAGAGATGCTTTTTATACGGTGACTACAATGTTGAAAATTTAAAAGCCTGAACTGCAGCATTATACAAGAAAAAGTGTACAACTCCGAGTATTCTGAGTCCTGGAAGCTGCCTCAGTTCTACCAATTATTGTCTCCATTTTGAGAGATGAGTGACTAAAATTTTCTGGACCTCACTGTCCTAAGATAGGTCTTTTTGCTTTTATCAGCTGGACTTCATGGTTTTTAATAGCTTGATCACCTTTAAAAATCCTGTGATTCTTGAAGAAATATAAAAATGAAATTGCATGGAGCGATACGGTACTGCATGTGGGTACTTGCTAGCACTCTGAGAGGCTGAGGCAGGAAGATCTCAAGTTTAAGCCCAGTCTGGGTAATTCAGAGACATACTGAGACTGTCTCAAAATTTAAAAATAAAAACTTTTTAGAAGGTCTAGAGATACATCTCAGTTTGAAGACCCTAAGTTCAATTTCCAGTTCTGTGAAACAGAGAGAGACAGACACTTAGACACACATACACAGAGGTTGCATGACCCATTTTTGGAGACAGAAAGAAAGAGGAAAGATGGGAAGGGGGAAGATGGAATAGAAAAAGAGGGGAAAAAGGGAGAGGATGAAAGAGAAATAAGGGATAAATCAAAGAAAAAACTATAGGTGGCAGTCCATGATTTTGAAACTACAACTCTATTTGGTAATGATACTAACAAAATAAATAACTTAATGAAACTGGTAAATGGGTGCACAGTGGTTAGGAATTTGAACCAATTATAACATTGACTGGTTCACTTTACTGAATATTAGCTTGTGGGTTCTATTTACAAACTCCTAGAAAGCATCAAAACTCTAATCAGATAATTGTATTCTATTTTTGGAAAGACAGTCAAGATGTTTCAGTACTGTTCACATCAGTTTTTCATAGAAAAATAACTTAAATTTTTGCCACATGATGGGTAAGTTGTCTTCCACGGGCTAGCCCGGCCACCTATGATTCTACTATTCATATAGCTGTTTCTAGGAAAAACTGTTTCTACAAGAAGGAGTTTTTTTTTTTTCCCATTGCTATAAATTCTCACTATAGGAAGCTAACATACATTGATTTACTGACATATTTTCTTTTGTTTTATTTTTATTAGTATATGTTCTCAATACATAATAAATACAATCATGTTGGGGAAACTGGCCCGTATACATACTGCCTCTTGGTCATTTTTATCCTGTCCACTTTTCTCCCCTTTCCTAGATCCCTTTTTCATATTCACAGTCACCTCCTTGCTTTCTACCATCTCTTTTTTATTTTGCTCTTTATTTATGTTTTGGTTTCTATGCGATATATAATATTTTTGTGTTTTTATGTAAGAACTTAGGTGACATCTCTCCTCCCGTTATAATCAAGGAAAGTCTGGGAATGGAAGTGGGGAAAGAGTTTGGATGCTACTGAGATCAAGGTGAAGACTTAATGAGGCGAACAGTACGGATAATGAGAAGTATCAAGGAATGAGAGCAAGAAGCGGCTGGTGAAGCCCACACAGCTGTGCAGAGGCCATGGGTGTACTGGATTCCCAGTCCAGTCCCGAACTGTTAGAGCTGTCTGACTTCTGTGCTGTTTCCTGTCGTAAGGATCCCTTGTTTTGAATACTTGTTTTCTGCCTTCCTCCTGACATTACGAGAACACAGTGGAAAGGATTCATTTCACATCTCTAGGGTCTGAGTGGGCCTTGCCCACTAATTGATAATATGTGTTCATGAGGATGGTGTAGCCTACCGAGGTCTAATTTGTGCCATTTGTGAGTGGGCAAGGAGGCTTTGTTGTGCTATGCATTGACAGGAGTGGAGTTGGGAGTCTCACGTTCACACTTCTCAAATTGAGGGAAAAACCACAGAAAGCTGATACCAGGCTACATTTTCCAGTCTACTTATCACATTGTCTTGTGTTCTCATCACCCACTCAGCAGCTCCCTTCCTTGGCCTTCAGCCCAGTAAGGGTTTAACTCAAGGATTTTTTTAGCTTTCTTGAAAACCTCTTTCAACATACATAAAAGAAGAGAGACTAGAATGATAAACTCACATATACCCATCACCTGTCTTCAACCTATTATCAGCATTTAGCGATTCCTCCTTAATCAGATGCTAACTCCCCCTAAAAGTCATCCAAACAGCCTATGATAAAGTAGAACTGAGTTTATTTTTACCTGATAAGGAAAGATACTTTCTTGTTAGAGCTTGAGTACCATCTTAAGTGAAGATGGCAATCTTGGAGATTTGTGAGGTGCAAGACTTTGGGTTAAGTGGATCTTTCAATCGTATCTGTAATCTGATGACCTAGGCACCAGCCGTTTTGCAGGATCTTATTCATTGTAATCAATGAATTGGTCAGGACAATTGGCAGGTATGAAAGATTATCATGTATTTTAGGGCAGAAATATGAAAAAGAAAAGGAAATGGTAAATAAG